GCTTAGATGCTACCGTCAGCATTGCAGCCATTCTTTCGTCCAAGTCACCCTTCGTTAACACGATGGGATCGAATACACAGAAAGATATAGCTAGACTGTCATTCCGCAAAGGTAAGCTACTCACGACACCCTGAACACCTCGACAGCAGACTAAAGGAAGTCTTCTCCTGTACAGGTGACTCGGACCTCCTGACAGTATACAATGCATACTGCTCTTGGAAACGCACTAGGAACACACCTGGTGCAAACGAGTACGCGTTCTGCCGGAAGAACTTCCTCAGCTCACAAACATTGCTCAATATCGAAGACATCAAAATGCAACTGGTAGTGTCAATTGCTGACGCCGGTCTCTTGACCCTCGACCCGATGCAGAAGGCTGCTTTGAATAGGTAAGCTAGCTTTCGGCGAAAACTTTACCGTGGTTCAAACCTCACTGACTCGAAAAGATCACGCTACGGCGGCCGCAATCGACAATTCTTTGTCATTCCTGAAGAATACGACACCAACAGCATCAACGACACGGTCGTCAACTCGGTCATATCTTGGAGTTTCTATCCAAAGCTGCTCACCCGTGAAGGCAAAGGCTGGCGCAATGTCGCCAACAATCAATCCGTTACCCTTCATCCTACTTCTGTCAACCGCAACCCTGACCCATCTTCCCCCCCTCTCAAATGGCTTTCCTATTACAACATCATGCAGGGTCGTAACCGGAACTACAATGCTTTTGAAACAAGCGTTGTCGATGACTTTGCCATTGCCATACTCTGCGGAGAACCTGAATTCAAGGTGCGTTTCTCACTCCCCTCTGTAATCCTTTCCACTACCTAGCATAAGCCATACGCCATTGCCAATTACCCCCTCACCTTGAGTATCCACATTGAGCGAGCGAGGATTAACACCATTTCTAGATGTACTCCGGCGTCATCTCCATCGACGCCAACCGCATCCGCTTCTCCATCCGCGACTGGAAAGCCATGCTGGCGCTGAAGCTCCTCAGCGCCCGTCTGCGCGAGATCCTGCAGGCGACCTTCCGCGAGCCCCAAAAGCTCACATATCCTTCCTACAAGCAGCAACAGTGGATTGCGATCTGGCAACGGATCTTCGAGCAGGCGCATGCTGCCAAACGAATTCCTTAAAGTCTATAACATCTTGCCTTCTAGAATCCCGTTTCTCGAGAGACTAACTACATCAAGATAAATAAAAGGAAGAGGAATAACGCTGGAGAATATTTTGAAGTTTTTCTTTTCTTTTTTTTCTTTTCATCTTTTTCCCCTTCCATTCTTCTTTTCTGTGCAAATATAGCTGGGGTGAACGGTGGTTTATGTGAGTTTGAACAAAAAAAAGGGCTCTCGTTTCCGTGGTGCTTTTCCAGGCTTTTTGGTACAGTCCAGTCCATACAGTACATACGCGCGAAGGGCTGGCGTCTGTTATACATCATAAGACTTTTTTGGCTCTCGCTTTTGCATGCTCGTTTCGGGTGGAATCATTTCCGTTCCAGATTTTTTTTTCTGCTTCTTCATCAAGGCAAAAGTTACTTAAAGTCTTGAAGATGGTTGGATGGCTCTATAGATGAGATACACGCCTTCTGTTTACATTTACAAACTGGGTTCACATTGCACTGTACATGGTCGGCCTGCAAAGAGAACATAATGAAGTGAGGTGCATGGACTGAATGAATTCTGGACAGGTATACTAACTACCCTTCATAACCGCAGATGGCCGGTCGGGCTAATTCGTCTAGCTTTACCTAGGCACTGTCGACTTCATCCGACCTACAATATACTGGTTTTTACACTAAATCGAAATGCTGTATCTGAATCATTACTCATTAGAACATATCTGTAGAACCCACAACTGAAAGCTGAACCCCGGCTAGAATCTAGAGCACGAGATTCAACTACCTAGCCCCATACATCTTCTTGCCACTTCCCCTTCCTCTTGAAGGCTTTACTCCAATCATTCCACTCCCCATCGTTCCATCCCTTCGTCTTCCGCATTGACTGGCCAACTGTCTTCTCCACCTCACGGGCCATCCCTGCCCGTCCGCAGATGTACACGTTCGCGCCCTCCTCGATCAGCCTGATCACGTCTTCGCCGTGCTCCCCCACCCGATCTTGAACGTATTGGCGGGGCATCTCCTCGTGCCGGGAGAAAGCCGTCACGATACGGAGACGGTCACCCAGTGCGGTTTGGAGAGCTTCCAGCTCTTCGCGATAGATGAAGTCTTCATCGGGCCGCCGACAGCCGAAGAATAGGAGCATTTCCCCGACATCCCGACCAACCTGTTGCAGCTGGCGGCGCTCGGCGATAAAGGCCCGGAAAGGGGCCAGGCCCGTTCCAGCGGCGACCAGGATGAGTGGACAGCTGACTAGGCGAGGTAGCTTGAACTTGCTCTTGCGGAGGTGAGCGAGGACTTGGCCGCCCTCGAGCGCGTCGCTGGGGCCCGGGAGGTAGTAGGTGAGGCCGTGAGGGTGAGCACCGGTTGCAGCGTCGCGGTGGTGCTCGGACAAGGCGAGAAGGTAGTTGGAGGTGACGCCATGAATGAGTTCTGTGGGGGTTTCGGGGACGGGGTTTGAGGCGACGAGGACGGTGATGGAGGGTTTGCGGGGAGAAAGAACACTGCTTGATGAGATTGAGTAGTAGCGGGGCTGGATCGGGGATATAGTTTCAACAAGATAGGACAGCGGCAGTTGCGTCCAGATCTGATAGGGAGCGGCCAGCTGAAGAAGACGGCCTAGATTGACATGAGTGCGACGAAGGAAGTCAGCGTAGACGGCCTTGTCTTGGCCAAGGCGAAGCAGAAACGCCTTGGCTTCTGGCGTGGGAGCAAACGGGGCCAGCCCCAGAACTTGGTCTCGGTTGACCGGCGCTCCGATCTCGAGGTAATAGCGGAAGAGCGCAGCGGGGGTCGTAGGCGTGGGGATCTTGACTTTCGTGGCTGCGTCCACGGATCGGATCACAATGGGCACATTGCGGCGGTCCGTGCGGCCCAGCACTTGCAGTAGACGCTCGACCTCGGCGTCGGAGTTGCCAGGCCATATGGCTAGATGATCACCCGTTTTGTAGGTAAACTCTGGCTGAAGAGTTAGGTCTAGGTCCAGATGCAGGCAATGGCGGTCCGCCGTTTTGAGAAGATGCCGCGCGCTGGATACAGGGAGGGCGCGTATGGCTGAGCACTGAGCAGACACTTTGCCTGAAGGGTCGCGAGCATCTGGTACACCATGATGGAGGTCGATTGGTTCGAGTGATTCATCTTCGTCCACCGTCAATGTGGGTAGGTACTGAGCTTCGCCTTCCTCGAAACCCAGCTGGGTGCGGCAGGCAGCGAAGACGTCGTCCTTCCAGCTGATGAAATCCTCTTGCGTGGTCCCTTCAGCATCATTGGCTCTGCCAACAGACAGCAAAGAGCGAGCACCGCGCTGATCCAAAGCCTGGACAATTACGTCAACGACTCGGTTGTAGAACTTGTAGTTGCTATTGCCCAGCCCGAAGGCGCAGTAGCGGAGATTGAATAGTGATCCATCGGGAGCCTTCTGGATCCAATCCCAAAACTCCGCTGTGTTGTCGCTAGGATCACCCTCTCCATATGTAGAAAGAAGGAAGATGGCTAATTTGGAGTTTGGAATTTCGCGGATTGAATCTGGGTCATAATCCGACAGATCTGCTGTCATGGTGGGTTGCTGGAAGCGCAGGGCGATCTCGCGTGCTAGGCGATGAGCAAAATCCTCTGCAGTCCCCGACTGGGAGCCCCAGAAGACGACGATGTTTTTTTCTGCCTCAGCGAGCTTCTGGGCGATATTGCGTGTTCCTTGATGTGCGTTGATGCCGGATGCACCGCCCATCTTCAATTGAGGACGCTCATAGAGCAAATGGCGGTAGGGGTCAGGCTGATCCCAGAGCACACCACGAGACAGATAGGTAGCAGCGGCCATCGACAGAACTGTCAAGGCAGCATAGTCGGCGGTTCCAGTAGGGGTCAAGCACCTGGCCAGCTGTTGCAAGGCTTCAGGTGAAAAATGCCAAGGGGTACTCATGCTTGGGCGAGTGGACGGTGATGGATGATGGTGTCTGATCCAGAAGGTTCACGAGGTGGAAAGCAATGCTTTTTTATAAGCCTCACCGCAGCGAGATTCCACTCAAGCCATCCTACTGGGTTTGATTGGTGCTGTAGGTCTATGAGTTGGAGTCGACAGTTGTAGGCCGGGTCGGCCTTTGACGGTCTTCTCCATCTGTGGACGGGGCGGAGCAGAGAGGTGTGGGAGGGGGGGAAAGGGCAAAAGGCGGGGGAGGAGAGTTGGGGGAGGCGAGAGATATCTAAATTGGAAAAGAAGGGGGTTTGAAGAGCATGTGTTGTCCCTGCTGGTGGGTGCATAGTGTGTAGTGCGCGTGTGTAGTGCGTAGTGTGCAGTGTGTAAGTAGAGTAGTGTGTGTAAGTAGTGTATGAGACCGATTGTGTCCTTTGTGGAAGTATTCTACACGGTCAGGAAAGGGAGATATTCCCCGTTCACGGACAATATTTCCTCCCTTGGCCTCCACGCACCCCGTACCAGTAGTTTACCCGATTGGGACAGACTCACTTACTTCCATCCACATTTCGCCTCGGACTTCCTCTCCACCATCCATCATCATCCCCACGGGGAACCCTTGCAAATCCTGCCCATGCATATTACATGCAGCATTCTGTGACATCGAGCTATGTCCGTGCGCACGTCGATCTTTCAAACTAAGATTACACAACAGGCCATTCCCCAACTGGCCTGCCTCGCTCGGGTTTGTACTGTACTGGTGCAACATCACCCAGGCATCGAAGGGTTACTGCAGGAAACAATCTTCAATCTCCATCATTTACACTACGGTTTATCTATGCAACAAGTTTGTGTGGGGCAAGGAAAAAAAATGAAAGTCATCAATCATCATCAATTGGGTTATTGTATGCCTCGAAATCTAAGGTGAAAAGGTAATGTGAGAAGATGTAAAACATTTGAAACAGAAAGCCAAAATCACGAGTCATCAACCGGTACTTCTCGCCGCCAAATCTTCACAGGCATAGCACCCAAGATAAGATTCATTGTCTCCTCTCGCTGCAGTTCCCAGTCTGGAGACGGCAGAGCGAACTCATAGCGGCGTACCAAAGTCGCCAGAATCTTGGCCTGCTCTAGGTACGAGATGTTGCGTCCAATGCATGAACGGGCGCCAGCTGAGAAAGCGATGAAGTACGGCTGCAATGCTTTCCCTTCCTCACCCAACCAGCGCTCCGGGATGTACTTGTCGGCTTTGGGGAACGCTCGCTCATCTCGGTGAGCCACAAATGCCGACATGCTGACGGAAGTGTTGCCTGGGACCCACTGGCCAAGGATCTCCATTCCCTCCGGTGGCGTTTCGCGCGGCAATCCGTGGGAAGTGGGTGGGAAAATACGGAGCGACTCGTCCAGGCATGCCCGTAGATAAGGTAGGTGCTTCACTTTGTCGTACGGCGCAATGATCTCGTCCGGGTCAAGGACGGCATCCACTTCAGCCCGCAGCTTCTGCAGACATTCGGGGTTCTTCAACAGCTGGTACATCACGTTGGTGATGGCGATGGCGGTGGTCACACTGCCCGCGTTCATCATGATATTAACCTCAGCTAGCACCTCACCCCATTCGAGTTGGTTGGCACGGCCGTTCTTGTCCTCCATCAATGCCTGGAAGAAGTCATCCAGTCGCTCGCCTTCTTCGTACCGTCGCAGTCGCTCGGTTCCCCGACGCCAGATGATGTTGTCCCAGTGATCGGAGGACTCTTGCATGCGCTTGAAATACGGAATCACGTTCACCAGCCGGTTGAGGGTCGGATACCACTCGTAGTTCCAGAGGATGAGTGATTGTTTCCGCGCTGTAGGGTAGAGAGCCTCACGCAGGGACACCTCATACGTGCTACCATCCTTGCGCTCCGCCACGCAGAGATCATGTCCTTGGTCTAGGAAGCCCAGCTTCTCTGACAGACCAATGTCGGCAATGGCATCTAAAGTGAAAAAGTTTGTCCACGAGCGGAAATCCAGAGTCAAGTCATCTCGGTCGGGGGCTTGCTTTCCCGCTGCCACCGCTGCGGATGGAGCTGCCGTGCACACACGGTCAAAGTGTGCGACCACCTTCTCGCACTTATCGCTGACCTTGTGCTCCCATGTCTCCAGGTTCTTCAAAGCATATGCCGACGATAAGACCTTGCGCTTCCGGGCGTGATCTGGCTTGTCCACGACATCGGCCAAATGGTAGTGAGTGCCTGCCGTGATCACGTACGACGGGTCCTTGATGCACTTGGTGTTGTGCCCATAGATGTCCTTGATGGCGCGCACGTCTCCGTATGACAGCATATTAGGGCCTGTGCGGATAACGGGCTTCTCCCGGTGTAGCTCCATCAGCTCGCGAGAGCGAAATCCACGTGAAGCCATGAACATGAAGGGGATCGCGGACATCCCTGAGATGGGAGTCAGATTAGGATATTTCCGCAGCCCTTGGAACAGGTTAGCGGTTCAGAACCTCAATGAGTTTGGTGTCCCTGATGCCTACCTTTCGGATCGCGGAGGTACTGCATAAATGGCCAAATGAAAAGATACGAGATGCCCACCAGCCCAACCACAAAAGCACATGGTGCAACGCTAAACACAGACAACATATCGATGGCCATGGTTTCTACGGCACTCTCGGTGAAGAAGGTCTGCAAATGAGGAAAGGGTGATGCAACCCCAGGGGGAGACTATTTGTCTGCGAAGATCAAGCCCGACTCAAATTTTATGCCAGCTGAACTTCTTGTCAGGGTGCTGGGAGGCGCTACTTATAACCTCAGAAGAAGCAAGAAGTGGCATTCGCGCAACTTTGAGAATCCGACGAGGTGCTGAGCACTCTCCTGAAAACAGAAACCGACTTTCCCGTACAGTGAAACCATGGGTGAGTACCATAAGGGTCTCGCTTGTGATGGGGTAGATGACCATGTCATCATCTCCTTCTCCTCTTTTCTTCTCCACCTTCACTTTTCCCAACCTCATCGCCATCGTTCCCGAACGCAAGCAGCAGGTCGGGGAAAACTACCCTTCGTGGCAACCAGCAATAGCGGGAAGAATTTCCCTCTGAATTTTGTTTCTCTTCGGGATAAAAAGCCTCGTTAAATACAAACGACGAATGAAAACCAGCCCACCGAGGCCGGCGTCTTCAAGAGCGGGAGGCGTAGCTTTGTTCGAGGCCAAGTCCCGGTTATTGTCTTCCTGGTCCCCCCAAAGTCCTTGATCGACACGGAGGATCCAGGCGGCATTTGAGAGCCATGACCTTGGTTTTCAAAGCAGCGAATCAAATCGCCGCGATATCGAGCAAGTAGCAGGCATCTGGGGAAATCTGGGGTATTCTGTCAACCATGGAACCGTGCCGAGCCATGAAGCAATACCCGAAACTATATCCATCTGAGGGGCAACGGACATGGGTACTCTCAATGATGTCGCTGCCCCCTCACGGCCAGCCAACGATGCTCAGCGTAAATAAGCCCGAGGATTTCGTCAATCTGGTCTATTCCTATTCCTGGTCAAGATGTCTCTGCGCCGAATGTAGATTGACCCATTGAGGTTGTTTAACCTAGACTCCTCAGGAGCACACAGTATTCTACTCTACTCTTATTCTACCATGGCTGCCGCCGAAGAAATTCCTAAAAAGTCATCAAACGAAGAGTTGAAGCCACAAGCGTTTCATGACGAGGATCTGGTGGTCGGTGACGGCCTGGATGACTCCATTGAGACAACGCTGCCCGGCAAAGCTATCTGGCTGATAGCGTGCACTGTCTCTATGGGGGGTTTCCTGTTTGGTGAGCATGATATCCATCACCCCGTCGTGCTGTACGGCACCAGCAGCAATGGAATCATTTTCCTTTCCCGAGCTTCAGTCTCCCTTGCGTTCAGCATATGTACTGACCACTTTTTGTCTGGGCTATTGCAGGCTACGATACCGGTGTCATCTCGGCCGTGCTTGTCAGTCTGGGAGATGATTTGGGCCAGACGTTATCGACCAGTGACCAGGAATTGATTACCTCTATCACCTCTGGGGGGGCCCTCGTCGGCGCGGTCCTCGCTGGCTTGACCTCCGACAAGTATGGGCGCAAGTTAGCCATCTACGTTGGCTGTACTGTCTTCTTCGTGGGGACGGTTTTGCAAGCTGCGTCCTTCTCTCTGGCACAGATGGTGGTGGGCCGATTGATCGTTGGCTTTGGTGTAGGTGAGGCGGCCATGATCGTGCCTCTCTACATTGGAGAGATGGCTCCAGCCCGGTACCGCGGTCGAATGATCGTGTTTGACAATATCTGTGTGACATTTGGACAGCTCATTTCCTATGCCCTAGGAGCTGCATTTACCAACGTCTCCCAAGGATGGCGATACACCATTGCTATCGGTGCTGTGCCGGCTGTTGCGCTCGCGGCTACAATGCCACTCTGCCCCGAGACACCCCGACAGCTGGTCTCCCATGGCCGAGACGAGGAAGCCAAGAAGGTCATCGCGCAGATATTCCCTCGGGCAACGAATCGGCAGGTTGCCGCCAAGATCCAGGTAATTCGACATAGTATTGAAGAGTCCTCGGTCTCGGTGGCAGATAAGAGTCTGTGGTGGCAGACCAAACAGCTCTTCACCGTGGGAGAAAACTTGCGTGCCTTGATCACTGCCTGTTCCGTTATGGCCGGTACGTCCTTCTCTTGTCTCCTGGCCTTGAAAAGTCTACCCTGACGCACATCAGTCTCACAACTCGGAGGATTCAACACGTTGATGTACTACTCTGCCACACTTTTCTCCCTGGTTGGTTTCAACCAAGCAACAGCCGTATCCATTGTGGTTGGGGCAACGAATTTTATCTTTGGCTTCGCGAACTTTGCCTTCATTGATCGATTTGGCCGACGATCAATGCTGCTTGTCACACTTCTAGGGATGGTAAGCAGTCCTATTTGCTGATTTCACTTGCTGCATAATTGCTTGCGTTCCTGACGCCAAGTTTTATTTTATAGTCTCTCTCGCTGGTTGTCGTAGCCGTCGTCTTCCATTGGATCCCCGTCAACTCGGACCTCAGCTTCTCCGGTCCTCGTGAGATGACCTGGGCAAGTATCGTCCTGCTGATTGCCCTCATCATCTACATTGCCTTCTATTCTTCTGGCGTCGCTCCGATCTCATGGGTCGGTACCGAGTTCCTGCCGCTAGAGGTGCGGGCACTCGGGACCATGGTCAACACAGTCACTTGCTGGGGTTGTAACATCATCATCTCATCGACGTTCCTGTCCATGATGAAAGGCATGACCCCAAGCGGAGCCTTTGGCTTCTACGCCGGGATCTGCTTTCTGGGATGGCTCTTTGTGGTCTTCTGCTATGCCGAAGTGCACAATATGCCCCTGGAATCCGTGAGGGAGATCTACACGGACGGCTTCGGAGTCAAAAAGGCCAAAGAAATTCAGGGACAATTGAAGCAGATGCGGCAAGATGAAGAGCTCGCCAAACAGACTGATTAAGCGCCGCACCGGGGATGCTAGACCTTTGCTTACTTGCATTATATGAGTTCTACGATCGATCCAATAATGGACCGTCATTGACAGCCTTTGCGGAGGGCACATCACTGGTGAGTTACAACTATTGACAGCAGCTTCTACAGCAGACATACCAAACCCAAGCGCGGTATCTGCGCGACCGAGGCTCAGTGCAACAGACTTGTCTCCCACGCTACGTCATGGCAGGTGTTTTTTTTTCTCTATCCTCAGGTGGAATGTCAGGTACATGCAGCGAAGTTCTTGTTTCTTTCCTCCACCTTTTGCCTTCTTCATCTCTTGGATTCCATTCTTTTTCCCGCGTACTCACAATTCCATGACATTGATGATTGTTAGCGAGAGTTCACACAGTTCGTTTCATTCAATTTCCCCTGCATGTACGAATGGCATGGACGTACATACATACTCTACTTCACTTCACCCACCCTATGTATCATCGCTATACTGTACATGTATTGTACAATGGGCGGCGCAGTCGCCGCACACTGATTGATGTATGCCGTCGCAATAGCTAGCAAACATCCTGCACTGGTAGCCAACATGTTCCAGAAGCACATAACTTACCACTCACTGTATAAGCAGTCGGATGGGTCCAGCCAGCGTGACTAGTGCAACTTTGTCACCCCATGAGCCGGATGCAGTAGCTATCTCCGCCCAGGCGAACATCTAGCAGAAGAAGGTACATACATTTTCCTCATGGACTTTTCGCCAACTTGGCAAGTTCCCAGGCATTGCTAAGGCGCCTGCAGCAAATAGGGTTCTGGTCGCCGCGACTACCGCTTCTCAAGGCCGAGTCACTATATCGTTCGCGTTCACGTGGTCTACTGCCTCAGTCAGGCCTCCGGGTCTAACGTGGTTGAGATCCGTCTCTCTCCTACTAAGCACTCAACTCAACAATCTACATCGAACCCCAGAGAACTACAATCAAAGTCTGGAGATGGAAACCCATGGAGTTTTAAATGCCCATACATGTAACATAAAACAAATGCGCAACACATGAACACCAGGAACCGACTCAAGTCGGCTGAGTCCCTGGAGATGCAGGAATGGAGAGAATGAACGAAGAAAACAAATAAAAAAGGGCTGAGCCACAAACAATATAATCCAAGATTCTCGTCATAGGAAATTCGTGTCATCATGGTCGTTAAATATAGCCGGTCAGAAACAATGCGCAAACCAACACGATGACCAAAAACCACACACCAAAACGCTGACCATCCCTATTGCCCCCCGATCCCGCACAGACACAGTGCCCATGATGACTGTGTTCCGCGGCAACCCACCATGCAAGAACCTCATGCGTAAACTTTCCGGACAAAAGACATTAAATGATTGAAAAATGGGGTCTCGACGAGGCCCACAAATGCATGCATAATCTCCCTTAGCCTGCCGAAAGACATTACCTGGGCCCAGTCGGGCACAAACTGTCACAGCAGACACTCAAAAAGCCGAATAAATGCTGCTTCGGTGGTGGCAGTGAGAGTCCCCGGCAAATGGTGGCGCATACTCAGAGCAACCACGCCGAGAGAAGGTCTATTATAAAGGCAAAAAATAGCGAACCCCCATAAGTACACGCCGATAGAGAGACCCTTCAAAGAAAAAATTTTGTCTTTTCTCTAAGGAAAAGATTGTGCTTTTCGTGATTGTTTTTTTTTTCTCTCTCTTTCCCTCTTGATTCGCGGTTGTGTCTCCCTTCAGGGCCCGCACCGGTTACCGACGACGAGACATGACACCCCCTGCCTTCATTGGCTGCAGTCCAAGAGTGACACCGCCAACAGGCCCTCCGACAGAAGTCTCGCTAAGCGTCTTGCGCCGCTTACTCTCAAAGTCGGGGCCCCGACTGTCGGGGCGGGCGATTCGGTCCACCTCGTCATCTTCCCTCATCCTCTTAGTGGAACCGATCGAGCCATTGAGACCAGTTGAATATCCCGAGGTCGGGTTAGGGACTGAGTAATTGTCTGAGGTGGCACCATTGTTAGACGTTCCGCGAGTGTCGCTGACAATGTTGTAGAGACTACTAGCAGCCGCAGGGCGCGGGGGGGTACTGTACCCAGAGCCCCAAGGCGGAGGACCACCACTGGTGCGCGGAGTCATTCTCCCGGAGCCATTCTGCT